TCAGATAAGACATCAAATCATGATTCTGGTTCTTGGAAGCATTGTGAACGCTAAAAGGGCTAGAATTCTTGTTGAACTCGTGCTAAGACAACAATCGGATAACCGTTAAAGTGGCGAGGTTTCAAATGATGGAGGATCGCAAAGACCTATGGGATCGTAATATGAGGAGCTCATCACCAGGTCCTCTGCTGGTCCTCTGTACTATTTCATTATTTTATTTTATTTTATTATTTTGTGGTGTTTTTTATGGTATTTAATCTGGCCACGAGTCATTCCGACTTGAATACTTTTGTAAATCATCGCAAACTTGTATGCGGTTTCATCTTCGAACGAATTTGACTCAAATATTCGCCCTTTTGCATGCGGTACAGTACTGAATTCCCCAGTTTTGCTGAGTATAGACAAGTCGGTCATGATGTTTTCCCAAGTTAAGACTATAGTCGGTTATGACGTATTCCTAAGTTTATACTAGTCGGTCATACGTATTCCCAGGTTATACTTCATTATTTCAACCAATAATTAATTGGTTATATATAGGTTATTAGCTTTAACCAAATTAAATTGGTTAAAAACAACCACCTCAAAAATTGATTATCCGATCAACCATTAGTAATTTTTCAGTAAAAACTGACCATAACTGACAATGCTAAAATTCATTTTAAGAATGTTAAAACTATCTATTGATTTTTATAACCAATTTTCTAATAGTTATGCCAACCAAAAGTGCTGAAAAAAAGCTATAGAACAACCCATTCAAAATTGTTCATTGCAACCAATTTAGATAGGATTTTTTTTTTGTGATCAAATGCTTTTGAAAGGCGAAGAAATTTTGTTAGAGTGAAAAAACGCGTTTTCTGGACACGCAAAGATTTATTTGATAATTGACTTTGGTTACACAAACAACCAATAGAAATGGTTACAGTGACCAGAAGTGAAATTGGTCAACTCGTTTCAACCAAATACTTTTGGTCAAAACAACCAATACTGTTTGGTTACGACCATTTTTATTGGTCATCGTAACCAGGCATTTTTTACAGTGTATGAACCTTCTGGAAATACATGGTTAGCCTCAACTCGGGGAAAATGCACATTGCATGTTAGCGCCATAGTACTAACAACATTTTGTCGTGATTTCACGTGCCTTTCAAGGCCGAATACTCTCAAGGCCGAATACTCTCAAGGCCGAATACTCTCAAGGCCGAATACTCTCAAGGCCGAATACTCTCTAAGAAATTTGCAAGGAAAATAAAAATTTCCTAACTAAAAAAATATAAGTCGTTTTGACCAAAAAAAAAAAAAACAACGATTGCCAGGCCTGAAAATTCCTTGAAACCAAAAAAAGGATTGTAATAACGTTATCATAAGGCGTTTTTGTTCTTGAGAAATGTTTGTCTAGGTTTGTCAGAAACAAAATTATTTTAAAGAAGGAATGACGCCACATTTGCTTGTAACTATTGTCGACAATGTAGCTCAAAATCCCTTTCCCAGCAAAAAAACTCGTATAAGAACAGTTATTTAGAAGAACAGACTCCATCGTCTTCACCTTGTTGCTATGTCCATATACCTCTGAGACAATTCATGCCTCATGCCAAGGTCAAGTCGTTTTTGTCTCCCGAATGATCAATGTCAATTTAGACGATTAGTTGGCGATGAGACGTGGATAAAATAGATGATAAGAAAAGATACCAATGGATCGAATAAGATTTGAACTCAGGATCAAAACGTTCCATAGAAGCAATTGATGACATAGCTGCTAAGGCTTGTTAACTCTAGATAAGGCGAAATTTAGGATATTTGTTTAATCTCCAGCTCAGCAGTGCAGACTATTTGCTAAAATGTTGCAACGGGACTAAAGCCTGCGGCAAGAAATTTGACCCGATCAGGCTATGATACTGGCCTGTGATATCAATGCCGACAGTCTCATCAACCCGCTCGGCTAGAAAAATCTTATCCATAAATAGTCTATGCCTCCTGATTATTTCTCCTCGCTCTTTGATATAAAAAGCCTTTAAAATCTTGGAAACTCAGAGCACCGATTGTTGTTCCAACCCGAACTAATTTAATTTTAAGGTGTCATATCTTGGAGGAATGATGTTTTGATGAAAATATTTTAATGTTCACCGGATATATAATTACTTGAAAATAATAAGTACATCCTCATGTTTCTTTGCCAAAAACTTTCCATCCTCAAATGTCGACATTTCTTTGATGCAGTCTAGGGTTATTTTGACTTTTTCATGATCATCATTCAAGCGGAAATCCTCTGAATGTGCAAAGAAATCAAGCAACAGGTTTCCTTCGATCGATTCTTCATCAAATACCTGGGTTACATCGGTAAAATAATCTTTGCGATAAACCTCGTGACGCCAGCCATTTTGTCGTACAATTTCAACGATATCACTACCAAAATGAATAATTTCACACGTCGTGCGTTTCCTTAAAAGCTGAATAGTATCATCTTTTCCAGCCAAAAGCAAAACTATGGCACCTCGATTGCCCAATCCTTTCTCGTAGCAGTGTTTCAGAGCTTTCTCTACATCAGTGATATGATAAATAGAGTGAATAAAATGAATGATATCAAACTCCACAGTCTCTTTGATATTTGTCACGTACTCTTCAAATGATTCAGGCCGGTCGATATCGAACACTACTGATGCATTGCTTAATTCCTTTGGTAGACGTGTGGCTACTGTATTCTTGTACTGGTTCAAGGCGTGCACTTGTGGTTCTACAGCTCGGTTGAACATTTTGACTGCATGACCTGGACGATGTCTTTGCATCTCTTCATTGACAATCTTCAGTATTTCTATATCCATGTCTCCGTCTCCACTACCAATACTTAAAATGTTGATACCATCGTGTGGATTTGGCTCATCAAGGATGTATTTCAACGTCGATGGAAGATGCAAACGGAGTGAGTTGATAACCTTGCAGACTTGTCCAGATTTCCCAAGAAATACATTAAAAGATTTCATGAAATTCTCTTCAGTTCCTTTCCAATGAAAACATTCATGAGTATCCATTCGAAAAATCACATATAGTATATTAATGCGCTGCTTGAAGAGCACGTAGAGAGAAAGATGCGAAAGGATAAGTTCATCAATTCTTACCCAATAACAAGAGGTCAAGACTTTGATCTCAGAACGCTCAGATCGAGTTTCTATTAGCAGCGCGATTGGTAATGACAGTAATYGCGTATAGAAGAATAATTAATTTATTACATATAGATCTGAGCCTAAGCCTACTTGCACTACAATTTTGAGAAATAATTTATCAATCAGTGCAAGAATTAAAAAAGCAAACAGCAATTTTTTGTAACTTTTTAATGCTATGATACGGGACTCTGAAAAGGAGCCTTTTCTAAGTTACGACGTAAGCCGAACGTGTATTGAAACCGAGGAAAAAAATCCTGATAGATGGAAACCACAAAGAAAGAGACATTTTCACTAAAAAACGTCCACCACCTTAAAATTTGTCGAAATTATGTGATGTAAAATATGTCATATAGATTGGTACAAAAACTAGACGCCCCTGGGGCGTGAAGTCGGACTAGCTATTTTTGAAAATTGATAGACACGAGTGAAAAGATTATGNTAATTAAGCTCATTCTAATTAAACTTACTCTAATCAAGTTTATTCTAATAAGCTCATTCTAATAAGCTATAGCCCTTTAGAGCTCTTAAGCTGCAATCGGCCAAGAACTGACACGCCCCAAGAACTACGTTTCCAGTTGTCCTCATGCTATTTCAAAAAACGTTGTCGGGGAGAACGGTATTAATGCTTTCCAACGTAACAGCGTGAGTTGGAAAGCGTATTCATTACGGTTCAAAGCACTTAGTCACATTTAGTGAAATATTTCATGGATTGTATTGTAAATAGAACAATATATGGATTAACGATAACGTATAAAAGATTGATGAAAATATGTTTGTTCACTCTCGCTTGTTGGACGCGTACAACGCGCCAGTGTATTTTCGTGTAACCGAACTTAACCGGATTTAGGGTTGTCAAGTAATATTAGTTAGTATTCTAAGCTGTTTAGCATTATATATGTATGTATATATATTTGTGTTAGGTTTTCGTATTCTTATCTCGTGCTTTAGCCCTCGAAGCATTGCGTTCGCATCGGACGAGGACTACGTTTTCAGAGGTTTCTCCTCCGGGTTTTTTATCTCTGTTTTTTCGTAGCGGGCAACGCAAAAGATGAATGTAAATAGTATTTTTTCAGTTTAAGGATAAATAAGTGGAAGGATTGTAGAATAATGTAATAAAATCTGGGTTGTCTGTCCAGCAGGCGCCAAGGCAAAGTCATACTCCAAAAAGTGTGGTTGCGTGGTTTATTGCGTAGAATAGGAATGAAGGCTCAGTCTCCAGCCGTCGGGATTTCGAGCGGAGTCTCCTCCCTTGTCACTATATATATATAGGTAGGGGATATTTTTTWAAACCCATTTATAATGCATTGCGACACTGAATAAAATAAAAGTAGACCATTTTTTGAGTAAAATTTTATTTTTAACTATTATAGGTTCAAAGTCACTGCTTGGGCTCCCTGTGGAACCCCATGCGCCCAGCCGTCAGGGGAGAGAGTATCGCGGGCGCACGAAATCCCGACGGCTGGAGACTGAGCCTAGGAGAACGGCAAACGGCGATTGTCGAAGGGAGATTGTACGGCCCAAAGGGACTATGGTTACATTATTTTGATTAACAAAATTTCACTTATTGGATTCACCTTACATAGTAATGGAGACTAAATGGAGCCAAAGTCTACCACAGACCATGTTACATTACAATCAGTTGTTATTTCATTTCACCGAGCGAAACCCATGACTACTTTCGGTCATGCAATCGCCGTTCGACAATTGACATTCGCCATTTTATCCGACAACCTTTTTTGAAATAGCTATATACTTTTTTTTCATAGTCACAAATTTGCCTTCGGGATATCCCGATTGTCCTCCGATCTCTATACCGAATGACGTCATCATCGTACCCGTATTTATAATAAGATACCGGCCGACGTCAACTGATA